ATAATATATTATTATATACTATATTGTTAAATCATAATACTATATTTATATATAATATATAATATATATATTAATATATTATATATATTGTGACGGCCCATTTTGTGCGTGTTATGACTAGGGGGATAAGCACAAAATAAATACTGTCAAATTAATCCTTTAATAATCCAATTATAATTTAATTACGATAATAAAATAATTATACAAATAAATGCCTTACTACTTCTACATTTTTATAATTTATCATCAGCTGCTCCGGGGCTAGCTGTCAGCTGGCTGAAGACGCCCAATGCCGGAATCTCGACTGCGACCTTATCGAACTTATTATCGACTATCGACTGTCGACTGTCGACTGTCGACTGTCCCCAACAGGTGACATTTTTGCTCTCTGTTACGTTACGTCTGACTATCATCGGAATCAGTTTCCAATATTATTGGTCATCCGGTTGCTGATCCGGTGCGATGATCCGCTGTTAGTAGTCTGACTTTGAATGATTTTATCAAATCTCTAGTATTGAAAGTGACAATATTTCGGAATGCAATCGTATGCTCCCATTATGAACTCTTGATTTTAAAACTCTACTTTTATCTTGTTGCGTAATGCAATGAACTTTTAAATAATAATTTAATATTCCTTTCAATCGTAATTATTAATTTACGAAATATATTTAATATTAAAATGTTTAGTTTTCTCTCAAGTAATTTAAAATGAAATATAAACATAAAAAAAAATATATATATTAATATATATATATATATATATACAGTATAATCTTCAAATTCTTCAGTAAATTTTGGATTTTTTTTTGTCCTACACACTATTTTCCCCTATCTGCTAAAATATTGGCGGAAAGTTTAGATTTGTCTTAATTAATGTTAATAACCCTGACTCTGGATATCTAATTCAAACAACGAGGGCCTTCGTTTAAAACGAGCTTTCTTACTCTATATCGTTATACCATAAAAGTATAATTAATTGCTTAGGGGGCCTTTCTTTTTCACCAATTTAACACTAACAAAGCCATATCCTTTTTCAAAATCATAATAAAATATTTTTTTAATATTGCAGTAAATAGATATAATATTAATTTATTTTATTTAATTAATTATCTTAGTTGGGACATAATACTCTATGCTATTACATAACCTGAATACCAGGCTTTTTTTTTTCAAGAGTGTCATACATCCACGCAAAAAATGATAAACCATTATTATATCCTCGGAACATTTTAAAGTGTAAGAAATGCCAGTCTGGCAATACCCATACTCTCCGACTGACGTTTACTACAGCAATTGTTGGGAGATCTCATGTAATAGCTAATCAGTTACTTTAGTTCGTGTCTATGGAAGCACCTATTCAACAACTTTGCTGTAAATTGATATCTAATCTATATAAAAGAATAATCTACTATTTGCATTACTAAGTAAATCTAAACAATGCACTTAAAAATAAATTATTATAATTAGTAGAATATGTTGCTGAAGTCATTATAATTAGGTATTATAGAAATAAAGATGTTTAATATTGATGATAGATACTTGATTATAGTTGATAGATAATTGAGTAGACAACAATTTATGACAAAGTTGTTGATTCTTCAATAGACTCTAACTAAAATAACTGACTTGATTTTACATGAGACATCTCAACTTTTTGTAGTGGAAAACTGCATTGCCATACTTGCAGTCTTTTATATTTTATGTTTTTGACGGGATCTTATTTCTTTTTGTAGGATATCCTCTTTTTTTCTCAGATAATATATCTTTCTGTATCTTATCCCTTAACTGGTCCGGCGTCGTCTGACAGACTACGCCAAATAATTAACTCATTCTCATTAGTTACTGGGACCGCCCACACAATTGGCGTTCCAGCTAATCCTCCCCCTCTCGGTCAACTACTGATAGCCATATTTATGCCCAAACTGGATTAGTTTTTTAGAAGTTCTGGCAGAAGTTACTTAAGCCGTAGTCTCTCAGACGACGCCGGACCGTTTGCGTAAGATTTTGTGTTTGACGAACTTTAGCAAAATATGGCCGGGCCTTCGAAAAGAGTGCGTTTAGGAGACTCTAGTTATGAAGAAACTCTATTAAAATGATATGATGAGGATTGTGACAGTGACAATATGACAATCTGCCAGACAAATGCGTTTGACAATGTCCAATATTCCAAGAGAAATATACTTTAGAATTGGTAGAATACTTGCAATTCCTGTACAACCACAGCACGCCCACGGAGATATTCTTATCCCAGAGTTCTTATCCTAGTTAAAGACAATGTTATGTCCTAGTTTAATTATTTTTAATGCCTAGAATGTACGAATCCATTTTGTAAAACATGTTCAGGAAAACAATGAACTTTGCCTCATGCTGTAACTAAAAACCTTTTCATTAACTTCAGTTTTATAGCTTATTTTTTTTATATATAGTACTAAAAACATATTTCTGTATTGTAATGACTGTTAGTAATTTGGTTTTATTTTTTAGAGCTTAGTAAAAATCTAATTGTTTTTTTTTTCAAATTTATATGTATGTAATTTTATTTTGTACTATATTTTCTTAAAGTTTATATTAATTGAACCCATTTTTGTCTAGTTCAATAATACATAATATAATATATAATAAAATAAAAATTTGTTATTTTTTAGTTTTTGTGTGTTTTTTTCACTTTTTAGAAGGCGTAGTCCCACAGACTACGCCGGACCGTTTATGATACATATCTATTACCGAACCAGTTAAGGGTTATCATAATAAACAAATATTTAGCGGACAGATTAATTTAAATTAATTAAAAATAGAAATTTATTTCATATTATTATAAATACAAAAAAAGCAATTTTGATGTACTGTATCTTGAAACAACTCAAAAGGAAATTCTAAGTATTCTAACTCGCTAAAAGCTTTCTTTCCGAATGGTTTACAGCAGCATCTTCTTCAGGACTGGAACTAAAAGTTTCCGATTAAATTTTCCGGCCACCAAATAGAAACTTTATCGCCGTAGTCAATAATTAGCGTGAGATTTATTCCTACTTAGAAACTGTCAGTTTGAAAGTTTCACTTTGATTAGAGATTTGCAAATAGATTTAATTATTTGCATCAAAAAATATTCAAATCTCTATATGAACTGGTATAGTCTACCAGAATAAATTGATATATTTATATTCTCTCATTGTACTATTTCTGTTTGTTTTGATAAACTCGAGCTAATTAGTACCTAATTACTATTTTGATTGACACAGATTGTCCGTGACGACAATTTGCTAGATTTTTTCCAAATAATCTCTGAAGTAAGATCAATATTTTGATGATAATTGGCGCCTGGGAGTATTTTGACATGAGAATTTTTTTTTGATATCAATATGACTCCTATTTGTAGGGGGCGCCATCACCTATATGCGTTTTAACTATTTTGAATAGTTAAAAACCAGTTAAAAATATGTAGGTTGAGCCCTCTACAAATAGGTGTCATATTGACATCAAAATCAAGTTTCTCATATCAAAAAACTCCCAGACACCAATTTTCATCCAAATATTGACGTTACTTCATAAATTATTTGGAAAAAATTGAAATAAAAATTAAACTTCTACACCCTGTATCTCCGAAACTAAGTATTTTCGGACATACATTTATACGAACTTTTTTATTTTTATCTGCAGAATATGCTGCTGCAGTTTCCGGAATACAGTTTGGGCCACCTTGTATAGTAAGGAGATCCTAGAGATTACATAAAAAAATAAAGATGGATGTAAACTAATTTAATTAAAATTAATTTTCACTTATAATATCACAAGAGCTTAAATTATTTTCGGAAATTTTTTTGAGGGCACGAATATTTTGAAAATTATCCCGAGTCGAAGACGAGGGATAATTTTCCTAAACATGACAATTTTAAAATAATTTCAATTTCCAACATGACATTTTAAAATAATTTCAATTTGTTAAGATGGCCAAGGTATTGATGTTTTTGACATATTATGTGTTTTGTCATTTTTGTTTGCGATTCTGTCATTAAGCTATTACTAGTTTTAAAACGTCTGTACGTAGAGTAAGAAGTGTATAGCGAAATGTCGCGATTTGGAAAAGTAAATCAACAAGTCATTAAAGAAGAAATTGAAAATATAAAACCAGATAACACCCGAAAATCAAAATCAAGTGTATGGAAACAGTTTGTTGAATTTTGTGATGAAAAGTCGTATAATATTCATGAGTGTATGAGTGTAGTACAGCTGGCTACTATACTGGAGGACTACGCATTTAATATGAAAAAGAAAAATTTTGAAAATTATAAGGAAAGTGTGGTCAAAGTGATGTGGAACTCTACTGCTAAGCAGTTGCAAGAAATTTATTATGAAAAATATAAAATAAAATTTAATCCGTTTTCTGATGTGGAATTTGTGACCGCCAGAGCTGCACGCGATGCTAAGCGCAAAATACTACAGAGAGATTCAGCAAAAAGAAAAGTGAGTGCTTCAGCCTTAACCAGTGACGAATACAAAAAAATTATTGAAATGTCATTGTAGTTCATTCACATTATGATTGTAGATCTTATGTTTACCTTTTCAACTGTCAAAAAATTTCCACTAAAGTTTCGTGGCGCCTCGAAAAAATTTCCGGAAATTTTTTCAGTTGCCATGGTAACTAGTCAACATTAAAGCATGTTATTGGTTGAAAAGTAGAGGTGTGAAATTTTCTGTTGAAAAAAAAATTAAACCCAGAATTAAAAGACAGGAGACATGAAATTTACAGGCAATTAAAATACAAGAGACTAAGCTATAAATTACTCTTTAACTAATTTTGTATTTCATATTCTGTGTGTTCCATATACACTACCAAATATGTTAGAGATGTAGCAGCAGGTACTACCAAAATGAGTAAAATTTTGAAAGTGATCTACGAAAAAAATAGGAACCTCTGTTCTACATTATTCTATTCACAAATTAAATTAGTTGCAGCTCCGCAGTAAATCACACGAAACCTCATAATTTTTATCTTATCTTTGCAGGCGGAGATTTGGAGCGTTTTCATTGCCATCCTGCGGAAGAGCGTGAGGAATCTGCAGGCCTGTACCGACGTGGGCCTTATAGAGCACGTCCTCAAGAGACTCCGATATGCCGACGCCGTAGTAGCAGGTAATATAATAAAAATCATCTCGAATGGTCTACTTAAAACGTGCCTTTAACACGATCTTCGCGGAGTGATTTTGACTTATACATCCGTTTTCACCACTGCTCTCTGAATATTAAATCTTTTTGGTATTAGCAACGAATGGTAAAAAATGTCTATACTTATGTGGCGGATTCATCTCTCCAAAAAAATCCTTTATGGGTATTTCGCCACTGCTCTGCAAGAAAAATCTACAAAGTAAAATAGTTTTATAATTTTTTGTAAACACTTCTGCGTTAAACCAGAAGTTATGTTTCCATCAGTTATACAAATTTGCCTAACAAAGAAAAAAATGCTTAACGTTTCGGAAAGTTTATCTCTTTCCGTCGTCGGAAGCAAAAAAATACAAAGAATAAAGAAACAAACTATTTAAAATATTTAAATTCAACTATTCGAGAACACTTTACTTTTTTAAAACAGATACATCTACAAGAAACTGTTGACGTTCTGTTAAAATGACATTATATTAAGTTAAACTTCAAAATTAACAATTACTACCTGATAACAATAATTACTTAATAAGGTAAAACCAAAAATCCCAAACTTTCTGTATGATTATTTTTAAATTTTACGTATGTTATGTTTATTTATGTTATGTTCTTTAAAATCAAAGAAGCGATTGCCATACATTACTAACATCTACAGATGCATGAGCAATACATATGATTTTAATATTTTAATTTTATTTATGATGCATTTGATTTTGTGATAATAGTAAAATGTATATCTATATCTTTATTTCTGGATCGTCTTTAGATTAGGAAAAACTTTTTTATTAATACCGTTTTAAGAAAAATGCATACTTCATTAATATTTTGCTTGCTGTAAAATGATTAATCCCGTTTACACTGTTCCAAATTTCCATGCCGTTTCAGAGAAAATTAAATATGAGAATACAGTGCATTGGTATGTAAATTTCATAAGTACAGGGTGAGTTTAAAATAAATGCAAACATTTTTATAGGGCTGGTAGATCTTGATGAAAGTAACATATTTTCTTTTTACCATTTTTCAAATAATTGGCTCTTTCACTATATTTTGAAATTAGCATAATTGAAAAAAGCAATTAATTATAGAATTTTCTGCTGTCTCACTTTCGAAAAATTTGAAGTCGTTCTTAAGAAAATAAATAAAAACAAAAAAGCCCAGAATTAAAATCCGCACTTTATTTTTAATATGTCACACCTGGCATGTTGAAAAGCGGCAACACGGCCGCGGCCGGGCCACCATGCTGACCCACCACCACGTCGACACCAGGCCATTCAACCTTTTCCAATATGGCGGAGATAGAAGTACTTTATTTGGCGCGTATTTTAAAACCTGTTTTATTTCCAAATAGACATTTTTCACACAAATGTCAGGTTAGATTACGTAATATTTCACTAATTTTTTAATATACAGGGAGTCTAAAGTTCTCCACGTAAGTATGGATTTTTTTGTATTATTACTTTTATGAAAACATCAGTTAGTTACTTTTTATAAAAAGGTCTGCTTTCTCAGAAAGAAAGTTAAAATATTCAAACTTGAGGTAGCATATACAGGGTGCCCAAAATCATCGGAAAAAGAAATAACCGGAAATATATGACAGAAAATAGCAATATAAACTAAATATTCAATTGCAAACACTTACCTACCATAGTTTAGATATTCTGAACAAGATGGATTTAATAATAAATTCTGACGTATGTGAATGTTTTTTCAAATGTCAATGTTGTCAATATCTTTCTGTGATCTTTTTGATGTAAAAAGCTTGATTCTTCTTACAATATTTTACTTATAGTGAGGTAAGTGTAAGCAGTAGCCGTAACTACATCCTCACTAGGGTAACAGAGGCTTTGGCCTTTGGCCTTTTTGATGCATATTTAATGCACTTCTCTTACCCGAGAACTACTAGTAGGAGTGAAATTATCACATTTAATAACAGTCAACCATTTGTTACAAAGCTCGTCATTTTTGGGGAATTTAAAAGCAGAAACCTTGGGACCCCCTCTATAATTCCCGTGACAATTTGGAACAGAGCATGTAAAAGGCATGCTACAATAAAATGTTAATACCTACCCTTTAATACCTATCTGTTGATTATTGTAAGTAACCATTATAAAGTACTATGCAGACTGGCGGCGAAGGCTTTTTACTCATTTAGGTGTAATATCTTGATAAATACTTCTAGTTCTTACCTTAAAATAATTAATAATAGAGGAGTACGACAAGCACAAAAATTTGAAGTTCCTTATGTGGAATGTCTGGTTTGGATTTTTATTACACTGATATTTTAACACAATTTCTGATCACACCATGCACTGAACACTAAGAACTAAACAAACGTGTTGCAGAAGCACAACAAACTAGAGATAATTAATTATTTCTGGTATGCAATCGGAACGAGAAACCACTACCGGCTTTTCAGGTTGAAGGTAAACAATTTAATAATGCGCTGCCTTCGCCGCCATATTTGCCTTGCCCATATCATGTTGATTGGCCTTGAGTTAAGGTGGTGCTGGTCAAATCAAATCGCAATGTTGCCAGTTGTTGGCTGGCGCTCGAGCACGGTTCTGCAATGTGATTGGGCGTATTTTTCATACGTCATCAATTGGCACTTTAAAATTATTTAATAATTATTTCAAATTAAAGCAATTTTGAGGGCCTATAAAAAAATTATTCAATGTCATGGAACTATTTTTTTTTTGGATAAATATACTGAAAATAGTCTTCTATTTCAGATTTTGTCCTTGAATTGGGTTTTTTATTTTTTTGTGAAAGAGCCCATTCTAAAACAACTGAGTTATTTAAGTTGAAAATCATTTTTTTTTAATTTCAGATATATCGGATTTTTTCTGTAATGTATTCCTCTAATTTTAATCTACAGTGTGTCCCAATATTCCGTGGACATAGAACTACTACGTACTTTTGAAATCAAAATAAGTTCATTAGACACGGTTTATCTATCTATATACAAAAGAGCTTCGTTTGTCAGTTAGAGGTAGTAGTGGGAACTATCGAATGAATACTATCGAAACATTCGATAGTTGCAATTCATTCGAATAATTCGATAGTTAGTAAGAAAACATTCGTTGAAAACTATTCGAATAAAAATTATCGAATAGATCCGTCATCTGCCTTGAAATATTGTATTCTAGTAATTCGGCAGCAAAAACCATTCATTTATAAAATTCATTCATTTATAAAATTCATTCATTTATGAAATTCATTTATTCGTCAAGATCGATTATAATAAAATATTAACTGAATTTTAGTTGTCGCCCGGCGAAGTAGGTTTTTTTCCGAGAAAGCGGTTGGTGGCAATGCTATGAAAGAAGCCGGCATTTTTGATTTTTTGCGGAGTCATATATAGATAAGGACACATTATTTTTTTTATTGAGGTGCTAGTATTTACACAGAAAATACATTATGAAGGGCGCTGTTGCCATATTTTTGTATTAGTTGATATTAGCAAAGAATATTATTGTTTGGCTTTAGTTAGTTAGGGATAGTATGTCTATATATATTCTGCATTTTTTATTAATATTCTGTTGTTACACTGCAATAATACTTGTTATTTTGGATGCAGGAAAATTATTTTTAATGTTTTTAAGCAAAGACTGGTTTAATAAATAATAATAACAGTAATAATTTGTTATACCTATTAACAACAAAATTTAAAATCATTTAATATAAATATTTTTTAAGTAGTAGCAAAATATAAACAACAAATTAGATGTCAAAATTATTTATATTAGATCCTATTTAAAAATAATATAGTCTCTAATTTTTGGCATCGTTGGTTTATTAAATAATAATAATTACAGAACTAATTTGTTATATTAACAACAAATTTTAAAATCATGAAATATAAACATTTATTAATTTTCTAAGCAAGCGGTATAATGGAAGGAAAATATAAATAAAAAATTAGAAATCAAAATTATTTATATTAGGTGCTTTATTTACTATTTAAAAATTATATTTACTTTTACTGGCATTTACTTTAAAAATAAATGAAATATTTCTTCGCAAAAAACTACATGTAAGAGAATTAGCATAAACAAAATACAAACATCGTTAACTTTTTTTTAAATTGGCACGTGTAAAATTTTCATTTTAATTTTCTCACCCCATAGTTTGAGTTCGATAACCATTTATTTAACCACATTACTTAAATATAATTATTAAGTTCCAACTAATTCATAAGTATTATTAAAACATCTAAAATACAAATATGTATTTTTAAAATTAATTTTTAAAATTAAGTTCATCTCATCTCTCTTAAAAATTGCTACTTCTCAAAATTTCCCGTTAAAAAATAGACCATATACCATATAAAATGAAATAATTGAAAGATCGGACTACGGAAAACCACACAAATTATCGGAAAAATTTTGACCACCTGCACATGCACACAATCGTCAATAAATAAAATTAAAAAATAACTACTATTTTAGTATTTTAACAATTTTAATAAACGCAAAAATAGCACAGTATTTATACGGCGAAGTTATAAAAATTTGGAAGAACCAATAATGCACTGACGCATACAAAATTCAAACGAATACTAAATTTCATTTATCAAAAGCATTCGATAGTCGTGGCTCAACGATAACCATTTAGTCGCACGGCGAGGTTGTCATATATGCTTTAGTTTACAAATGAATGAATGATTTTATTCGAATAAAACCATTCGATAGTTGAAATCATTCATTCATTAACCATTCGATAGTCTAATTCATTCGATAGTTCCCATCGCTAGTTAGAGGGCATCAAACTTTAAAAAAATAAACACTTTTTTTCAGATATTTTAAGAACCATTAGCTTGTTTTGAATGAAATTTTGGGTGTCTATGTTGTATAATCTAAAATTGTAAAATGTTGTATAATCTAAAAGTAAAATAAAAAATAGCGTGGTTGCATTTAAAAAAAGCATAATATGTTATATCCGCCACACTTTTTTGAAGCACCCTGTATACTCTACAATAATTTTAAAATGGGTTTCTTAACCTGCCCTTTAACTTTTATATTTAACATTTCTTTGTAAACCTCGAAACAAATGAGATAATGAACTTTATTGTTGACTCACTCTTTACAGTAAAATTTATAACATAGTGGTATTTCTCTTATTAATGTACTTTTGACAACTAGTTTTATTAAGTCAAAAAAGTCTCTAAAAATTAATTTACCGGTGTCAGATAAAACGTAATTTGGGTCAACAATTCGAGCGCTATCATTCATAATTTTCATTTCCCCTTAAATTTTTCCAATTTAAATTATAGATAAATACATTTCCTTTGTGTTACCTTCCCTTTTATTAGTTCTTCCACTCCGTAATGAATTTTGAACAGAAAGTCAATTAATTCAGTTGCTTTATCTAAGATAAATATTAAGCGACCCTTTATTTCTACCATTTTCCAAAATATAATTAATATGAAACCGCATTTCGTCGTTTTAGCCGCCAGTGTTTATCTTTTCCCTCATTGGTGTTGCTCTCTTTTTAACAACTCCCACTCACTGTCCCGAGAATGTCTTCTGTTTGGCGAAAAGTTAAGCTAACAAGATTAAGACAACTCGAGAGGGTTCCCTACAAAGTTTGCTTACATCTATTTGCATTAATTTGCTATATTATCTACGAAGTGTTTTGGCTATATTAGCTACGAAGTTCGTACGCATTCTGGAGATGGTTTCTCGCTTTAGTGTGTCGTTTTCTTTCTTATTTTGTCCTTGTACTGGCGGGTTATGGAAATTTTCTTTTTTTGAAGTGTTTTTGCATGCTCGTCTGTGATTCAGTATAATTTTTCTGAAGGTGTTTGCTTTTATAATGTAACGTTTTTGATTTTTTACATTTTTTTATACCGATTTGGTCATTTTAGAAGTGTGGTCTGTAATAATATAAATGACCGGTTAAGAGACAGAGAGAAAATTTAAAACGGCATACAGTGTTGCCGGTTTTTACGTTTGTAGGAAAATTTGTGTAGAAAAAAAAATATAAAAACTTTCATTTATACTACTGAAATGAAGATATTATATCTAAGCTAAATATAATCTATTACATTACTATTACAAAAATTGTGAAAAATAAGGTTTCATCCCTAGATGCAACATTTTCCATAAAGGCCCATTTGTGCGGTTTGAAATTTTGGTGCAAAATCCGGCAATGCGGCATAGAAGAAATGTATCGACCCACTTTTATTTCTTTTTAATACATTTGATTTTTCATTAAACTGCCTACATCACTGTCTTACACGTTAAAATCCAGACCACACTTCTAAAATGACCAAAGCGGTATATATTGCAAGCATTGGTCATTTCCGATCCAACCCTGGTAATTTTGAACTGCTTTGTTTAGTTTGGTTCACTTGGCAACTCTGCTATCATTTCGCTAATTTCGAGGGGGGGGGTGATTTCCAGGGTCATGGAAACCCTGGAAATATTTCGAGGTGAGTTTATAGAAAGATTTTTCTGGAAACTTGTGTTCTAATTTTCATGATGTTTAATAGGGTCCTACTCCCATCTCCGATGTTTTCCTAGGAGGGCAATAGTACGTCCCATAGGAATTTAAGCCATCTGGGTCCTCAGAGGAATGCTTAGAATAAGATTAGTCTGTAGTTTGTGGTTTATTCATTCGGGATGCCTTTTTCTCCCTGATCCCAGTTTTGGTGTCTTATCCAACAGTGAACGCCGGAAAAGAGTAGAGATGCAGGTCTCACCTCACGCTCTTGCTGCTTAAGACAAGATTGCACGAAGATAATATCGATCAGCTAATTCTTAACTTTATGTTCTACTACAATCTGTTTGTCAACTACATATTTTACAGTTTCTGTTTTAAATCAATCTTGTACTGATTTTAAGTATAGTGGTTAACTTTATACTTTATTATGTTGGTTTAATATTTAAAAATATTATCTAGATTCTAATTTACGTGACACACATTACCTTTTGTAACAGTATTACTTTAAAAATATATACCATGTGTTCTTTAATTTTTACAGTGCGCTGTTTAATGTGCGACATCAGTTCTAGAATTTATTTCTCGTGATGACTATAATTTAACATCGTATAGGAATTAACAATTATATAATGAAATACTAATTACTCTCTTTTAAACTTTCTTTGCTTTAATTATATTATATTTCTCTATAATCTTTTTTACTTAACGTAATCATCATTTTAACATAATTTTATCTCAAAAATATTACTACCATAATTATCAAAATTTCACAACTTAAACAAAATAATTAACAAAATTTCACATTGATATAATCATTAACTTTATGCATCTACAACTGTGTTTTTTCTCTGTATTTTGTCTCGCCCAATACTTTTAGTTTAATATATTTAGTTCTATATATATATATATATATATATATATATATATATATATATATATATATATATATATATATATATATATATATATATATATATATATATATCTCCGAAACTAAAGTTCCAAGAAAATTTGTAATATATCTAGAAATTCATTTACCCGCTAGTAGTTATAAAAAGCATTTTTGGTAAACTCTGTCTCTAATAGTTTCTGAAAAATAAAATTATTTTTTTTTAAATGTCCGATTAAATGTATATCTCCGAAACTAAAGTTCCAAAAAAATTCGTAATATATCTAGAAATTCATTTACCCACTAGTAGATATAAAAATCGTTTTTGGTAAACTCTGTCTCAAATAGTTTCTGAAAAATAAAATTAATTTTCTTAAAAAAGTCCGATTAAATTAATATCTCCGAAACTAAAGTTCCAAGAAAAGTCCAGTTCCAAAAAAAAAAAAAATATATATATATATATATATATATATATATATATATATATAAAAGTTTACAAATATATATATATATATATATATATATACAAATTATTTAGCATAAAACGATACAGTCGTTAGTACAGCCACATTCGACCTTTACACTACTTGGGCTGAAGATAATCGAGAAAAATACTACCGGCATATTCTAATAATTATATTTAGGGATACGATAATTATTAGGAGAATTATTTTAAAATATAATTTTAAAAAAGGTTTTTTCGCAAAAAAAAAAGTTTTGAAACAAATTTTGGAATTTTTTTTAGTTTTTTGGTAAAAAAATACCCTTTTTTGATAATATAGCAACATAGGTAGTAGATGAAATTTACAAGAAAGAAAATCCAGAAAAGATCCAGTGTCCTCAAAATTTAAGCAAAAAATCTAAATTTTAATTTTCCACGTAATCGTTATTTTAAACTTATTTGAAAAACGGTAAAGAGAAACGGTTTCCTTTATCTAGATCTACCAGCCCTGAAAATATTCTCGCTTATTTAAGACCCTGTATAAAGTGGTCCCAATTGTAATCGGGAAACTTCGGCAACATATTTCGTTGATAAAAATAAGTAAAAAAGTTTGTTTAGTACTAAAATGTTTTGTTTTCGAGATACATTCATTTTCATTTCGGGATTTTCTAGATAATTTGTGAACTAACACCAATATTTGTTGATTGAACTCTTTATATTTGTCCTATTCACCAAAATGTACTTTCAAAGCCCACTCTAATGGGACACAGGAATTTTCTTTAATATCAAAAATATTTCGAGGAAAATCACAGTAATTTCTAAAATTACAGGGCATTATATTCTGGTTATTTCCTTTTTCAGATTTGCTCATAGAAATGTTGGGCGTTCTGGCTAGCTACAGCATCACGGTGAAAGAACTAAAATTGCTGTTCGGCGCAATGAAAGCATCAAATGGAAAATGGGTAAGTTCCGGCTTCCGGTATTACTTTTTGTTTTATTTTCCAACGAATAAAATGAACCGAAAGTTCTATTTATAAATTATTATCCTGGCGAAAAATAAAGGAGGCAATAGCCGCTGTAAAATATATATACACTGAGAAAAAGGATCTCTCAGTCGAAATGCATATGACTTTGACCCAAAAGATTGGCGCTTTTCAATAGGGCCAAGAACGACGTTTCTTTGCCCAAAGCATTAACTAGCTTTTCATAAGCTTTAAAAAATTTCTTTAGAGAATAGAAGAATCTATCTATCCAAAGTATTTCACTATTGATTCAAAATGAATATGCAAAGAAGTTCTTGCTACAAGAACAATAGTCTCTTTGATTCATGCAAAAATTCTTGATTGAAAAGGGACATTTCTTGATTAATGAGACACTTTTCTTAATCCAATAGCGAATACTATTGACTCAACTAAAATTTATTTTGATCATATACAGGCATATTACGAGGTATATTATTTTCTGATAAATTTAGGTTTTCCTGGTCTGTAGTAAGTAAAGTGATATTATTTTCCTCGATAGTAGTTATTTCTGCTTCTTCACTCCTTGGTATTTTTTGGGGTGGTTCATCACTCTACAAATTACAAAAAAATGTTACATCACGATTAATCAAAGTAAAGCAAATAAATTATTGAAATTATAAGCTTTGGTCACATTTTGAATTTTATACGACGACTTGAAATTCTAAAATTTTTGTAATTATTTGCATAAAAAAATCGATACCTATATTCTTATTCTATCTATAGTCATGCATGCATTATCTAAACAGGTGCATTAGGTAAATGTCTCTTACCTTCAAATATAGCAAATAAATGCTCTAATTTCTATTTTTTCAGAAACTCCTTTAAAGAATCCATATATCCTAAAATTTGTCCATAAAAATGACAAATGCATGTTAATAACGATCACTAATTTGTCATACGATATGCGTTTAAAAAGCAAATTATGCAAAATTCCAAGTGGAAAATTCCAAGCAACAAAACCCGTGCGTACTATGATGTGCAACCTATGAAATACGACGTACGACTGATCGGACTGCCGACTGATTGTATATACCGTCCTTCGTCATCATCTTTGCGTGTCGTTATTATTTTTCATCAAAAAAGTATTTAGCTATTGGAAAAATGGCCATGTTTCTTGAATGAAGTAGTTCCTAGCGTATTTTTCTTATTAACTTAAAACAAAGTAACTTGCACTTGGTTGAATGAAAATAGATTCAAGAGAAATTTTCGAATTTTTCAAGAGAACCGGTTTTCTTGAGTCAAGAGAGTTTTTCTTCAGGCAAAATATTTTCTTTTACGCTAAAATAAATTCTCTTGCCACTAAATATTTTTTTTCAAGAACGATGACGACTTTAGTTCAAGTCTATCTTTTTTATCAGTGTACTTTCGCGTTTCGCCTTGTTTGTTTCGTTAACTTTTCTTTCGTTTTTATTGAGCCTGGAAACGGCACTAACAAATCGACTAGAGAGACAGTAGAATTGGAGTATTGTGCTACTTTTTTAGACTCGAATTTAAACCTGATAAATGCAGTGTAGCATTTCGTCGCTTTCTCTGTTCTCTGTTTAAATTAGTTGGGCAGCTTTAGTTGATCTCTCCTATCGTTTGCACAATATCCAGAGTTTGTCTAACTGGATTATCCCTGCCAGTGACAGTTGAGTCTGTCATTTACAGGCAAATTGTGTTTCCTGTCATTTTTTCTGACATTGTGACAACACCGTTATATACGACTAGCGTAAACGCCACGAATGTTTGGGAGTAATTTATCGCTTGATCAAGTTAGAATCGACACGCGCGCTATCATTTTTACATTAAAAACGTAAATTTTTACCGCAGACGTAGGTTTTTAAAGGCCCGGTCTAATCATCTGCCTGCGCTCCTCCTACTTATTCTAAAATGCTAGCGTGATTGACAAAGACGACACTATATCGCGTTTCTTTGATTGATTCGTTTTTGTGCGTCCGTCCATTGGTGTGCTTGCAGTGCAACCAATGGGGCATTCCATTTTATATTTATAACCAAATATATGTTTTGACAAGACTTTGACAGTTAAAACAACAAATTACTACAGATTATGTATTGATTATTACATGACTTGAAACACCACGGCACTGGAATTAAGTTTTATGTGACCTTGAACAGATTAGTTCACATGGTAGCGATCGATGAATCACTCCCAAACATTCGTAGCGTTTACTATATCAATTTGGCTAGACGCAGACAAAAAGATCAAAACTATTTTAGTCAAAAACGATGCAATCGTTTTTTTTTTAACGCATTATGGATATTTAATTATACTAAAAGTGTTAGGCAGTATAATTTGCGAAAATTCTAAAAATAAAAATAAAAATGTAAATATTTTGATATCTTTAGAACTCTTGGATAACTCTTTGATAAAAAAAGGAACTATTAATATCTTCTAACGTGTATTATAATTTATTATTCCAGTTAAAAAAAACATTTTAGATGAGTTCAACTACGGGTAGCGAGGATAGTTTTAATCACCGGAGGATAGTTTTATGCCCCACTAGTAAACTAGTGGGGCATAATTGGAGCTATTTCGGCTATAATGAAATGTTTTAAAGGTACATAATTATAATTTTTTTAATGTTCATAAAACATTTAATCACTAGTCGACTAACAAAAATATATTTTATCCTTTAATATGTCTATTTAATTTTTTGATTATGCAACGACCACTTTGTTTACTCATTTGTTTCGTCGAACTGCTTGAATCCATTTTTGCTTTTGATCAAATCGGTGTGTGAAACTATGAAGCTATAAAATGTTGTTTCGGGAGAATTGAATATTCGGGAAAGTTGAATTGTTGAATTTTATTGCAACCAACAACGCTCTTATTTTCGGCAATTTTATTAAAACGGCCCACAGACGATCCAATGTGGTGTACAACACGTTGGACGATTTGGTTTGATCCAACTGTTTGAACGATAATCGTAACGTCTGTGGGCTTGTCGTCCAACTTGTCGTTAAGACGCGGTTGGATCAACGACAAGTTAGAACGTCTGTGGCATTTTCACCGACTTGTTGCCACTATGTTAATACAAAAATACATCATGTAGTGAGATTGTGGTGTTTCATCATGGAGGAAAATAGGCAGTTTTGGACAGTATTTATTGAAATTTATAGAGACCATTCGTGCTTATGGAATGTTAAAAGTGAGGAATGTTTCAATAAACACAAACGGAACTCCAGCTATGAAGTGTTGCTGAGAAAAATGAAATAAATAAATCCAGACCCAAGCAGCATTTGGACGTCGGGACAACGTTGTGTCACGCGACCAAACGTCGGGGCGCAACGTCGGTACAACCTCGTGCCAACCCTAGTCTGCACTAGTTTGGAGAATAGTTTTTGGGTCGAAACGACGTTGGATACCGACGTTGGCTAGAAGCCTAATTTAGTACAAACTGCAACGTTGTTTAAACTCCTAATTTACAGAAATACAAAACTAATATGGCGTCTAAGTCGCGTTTTATCCTAACTTGGGATAATTATAGTAAAAATATTATTTTTATGATTTAGTTAGAGACATATGTCAGATGACAGTAAAGGAAAACAAAACAAAAGTATTTAAGTGTGGAGGATGTTTGAAGATCATAATTATTGAAACACCTTAACCGACTCTGTAACTCGTTACCCAAGGCAAAAAAGTTAAACGCAAACAACTTTATTGATAAATGTATTGTTTCTACTTTGAAAAATACTGGGCCTTAAAATTAAAGAAGTTTTAAAAATTTTCTTGAATTTTTTTTTTAGTAAAATGAGAATAATTTATTCGCAGTCGAAAAAATTGTTTCCGGGTGTTTTTTAGGGTCAAATATTTCAAGTTAATGTATTCAAAAAGCAGGAATTGCTATTTTAGGAACGAAACATTTTCTTATTTAACAACATGGCGGCTTTCGCTTTGTTGTTTTGGAGATTAAGATGGAGTAGTTCGAGTAGTCGCATACTGGACTAATAAAGTCGCAGTTCGGCCTTAACAGGTAGTATACTAGCCGCAAAATTGCCTAATTTAGTCATCCTACAGTCTAGCTTGTGCCGTCCTCTATAATCTAAATAAACGAGGGAGTGGATAAACTATCGGTAATATATGTCGATGTATATTTAAATTTAGTTTTATATGTACCTTTCTTATGTCCCATTTTAATTAAGTTTTTTTTTTATTAAAACAAAAACAGCACTGAACTGTTTGACTGAACAGAACAATGAAGTGAAAATTTAAGATTTAAGGTTATGGTTCAATACAGTTGCAAAAAGGTGGTGACTCGACGTCCTACCAACGTAAGAATAAGGAAATCTAAACAACGTTGGAATTAGTAAACCAGACGACGTTTGCATAACGTTGGAATAGGTCCTGAAATTGACGTCGGAAAACTCTATATTGTCCAACGTTGTAACTACGTTGTCCGAATCACCTAAAGATCACTTAAGCAAAAAAAGGTTACAAGACAACGTTTATTCGACGTCGCAGAAGCTTCTACTTTGCTGTAGTACTAGTCCAACGTCGGCACAACGTTATAAAAACGTTTAAATTTATTTTAATACCAAAGGTAGGGAGCTAACTATTTTTTGTAACTAATCCAACGTTGTGTTTAGTAAACATGTGGTCGCAAGTCGTAAAAATGCTACTTGGGGATACAACATTAGAACTTCGAAAATTAGTTTTTTTTGATATGGTTTGTGGCCTAGTCAAACATACACTGAGTCACTGAACTAATTCATTTAAAACATTTAACTAATCATCCTAAAAGTCGCTTTAGAATGTCGTTACGTTTCTGGCCAAAAGTATCTACGATCTGTCTGAACGATTTTTCGTCCAACCTATCGTACGATCAGTTGTACAACCGATTGTATCGTCTGTGTACCCCTTCATTTGAAATTGTCACAACACAACACAACGCCTAGTTCGCATTCTTTTTCATTTATTTTTACTACCCGAAACAGCG